GATACATTCTCACATTCACAGACACATTCTCACACACACACGCACTCACACACGCACTGACACACACACACACACGCACACACACACACAAACAAAGAAATTCATAAGAAGATAGTCGATCACAAGACAATAGGGGTAATATAAAAATAATATCGATATTAATCACTCACTCACTCTATCACTCACTCACTCACTCACTCACTCGCTCATTCACTCACTCGCTCATTCACTCACTCATTTCATTATAACAAAAGGTCAATTCGAAATAGCGAATAAAATGAAATAAGCCCAAAGCATAATCGCATAATCATTACAATAAACATCATCAAAGTCATCCTTTTCGTCATCAGTTTCATCATCATCCTCATTGATGGCATCATCTTGACTACCCTAAACACACACACAAACACATACAAACAAACAAACAAATGTTTAGTACATATGAATGAGAACAAATTTTATGGCAAAAGGTAAAAAGTTTTCCGCAATTACAAACTATGAATACGTTAAGTGATGCTAATGAATGAGCATGAACAAACACACACACACACACACACACACATACACACACGTACACACAAATACATAGAAACACCCACAACACACACGCAACAAAACAAATGATATACACATACAAACACATCAACCAACGTATGTATGAATGTATACAACGTGTACCAATACCATTAATTTAAAAAAAATTAATAATAATAGGTAGAAAAAATGCACAAACACCCAACTAAACCTTACATCAAATCGCTATGTGTATTATTTTCTCTTCCCCCCCCTTTCTCTCTCTCCCTCTCTCTCTTTCTCTGTGTGTGTATGTGAGTGTGTGGTGTGTGTGTGTAACAATAATGAGGTATAAAAAAAAGTAATTTATGTGTAGATTGCCAGGAGAAGTTTATGGTAAGCAAGCCCAGTACAAATATTTGCATTGGCATACATTATACTCTTTGAGTGTTGTGGCTCTCTTGTTAATTAGTGAATAATGTTAAAAATATTAAAATAATAATAATTATATATTCATATATATATACACACACACACACACACAAACTTACACACACATACACGCACAATCACACAAACACACACACATTATTATCTCAGGCATTTCCGTCACCCAAGGATCCAGCTTACAGAATCAGATGACCAACAGAGAACAACAACAACAACAACATTAACATTGGTGTTATCGTAGTGAGATGCTATCGCAATGTTTTCTTTATTCCTCTTTCTAATTACTTCATTCACTCATTCATTCATTCATTCACTCACTCAATCAATTAATTAATACATTCATTCATTCTTTCAATCATTCATGCATTATGCAAATTCATAAATTAATAACAGATATCTGAGAAAGAACAAATGAAAATTTTGAACGAAAGAATAAAAGATCGATTGAACGAATGAAAAAATAGGAAACCGAACAAATAAACGAACGAACGAATGAACGAACGAGTATAAAAAATAAGGAAACGAACCACTGCAAGAAGGCGATGAATAGTAAAGCATTCTTAAATAAGTGAGTATCACCGTATTAACATAACACTGTATGCTTTTCTTGATGTCAAAAATATCTAGGTTAACCACTACAACAACAATAATAATAATAAAATAATAATAATAATAGAATTTTTATCACTGTTGTAAATTATAATAAATAAATAAATGATAGTAATAATAATAATAATAGATTCAAGAGTATTATAGTATTAAACTTTTTCTGACTCCTGAGTTTCGACCCCCCCAAAAAGAAATGTTTTCAATTTTTGCGTCATAATTTCAGTTAGATGCAGCTGCAAAATGAAAGGTACTTTAAAAAGATACTTAAGTACCAGTCGATGTAACTGTCCTTCATAGTAAAATTACTACAATTAAACAATGTTTCAAGACACGCCGAAAGGTAATTGAGTGATTTTATTAACATTTATTGGCAACTAATTTCAGTATTCGAAAAGATTACTAAGTCGCTAAACAGACATATCTTTTAAGAAACACGATCCTGAACAAATATTTTCACAATGAAAAGTATAAAAACATCCAAAATCACGACACTTCTCAGAGCCGGATGAAAAATATCCCTGCTCCAGTCGGAACACGGATACCTATGACAGTGGCATAATTACGGCAATTATGTATATGTGTGTATGTATGTGAGTATGTGTGTGTGTGTTACGACAATGAATCAGTGGCAAGCCATTGACTAATCCCTCAACCAATCAATCAATGATCAATCAATTAATGAATATTCATTCATTCATTCATTCATTCATTCATTCATTCATTCATTCATTCATTCATTCATTCATTCATTCATTCATTCATTCAACAGAAAACAAAACAGAAACAGACCACAAATATGAATTTAATTAATAAATTCAATAATCAATTGAGTCTTTTGATTCATAACGAGAACTAATGGGGAAAAAATGTGTGTTTATGTATGCGTGTGCGTGTATGCACGTGAGTATGTGTGCGAACGTATTGGTATGTGTGAATATATGTAAGCAATTTGATTGTAAGCACATATATGTATCAATATATGTATGTGTGCGTGCTATGGTGAAATCATTCCAGATAAAACGTCTGGATGTTGATGCATCATGAAGATGCTGACATTTTTATTAAATAAATGAAATGCCCTCTGTGTGTACACGAACACACACACACACACAACACACACACACATACACACAATACACACACACATTTAGTTATACACACAATTACACACGCACACACAAACAAACAAACAAACAAATAGATAAACATTACACGCATCAAAACGTACTAACCCAACAACAGTACAATGAAAAAATCAATTAAGAAGAAACATTCATTCATTTCGGCATTTTTAATCGCACTTCCATACCCATACTTTAAACAGCATTTGGTTCCCATGACAACTTTAAAAAAGTAATTAATAATAGAAATAATAATATCAATAATTATAATAATTATTATTACTGCTGTTGTTTTTGTCGTGATGGTTATTATTCATTTTAGTGTAATTCATTTCAATCATGATATCATGATACACAGTTATACGGATTTTATAACTGATATATAATATAATATCATGATACACAGTTATACGGATTTTATAAGTGATATATAATATAATATAATATCATGATACACAGTTATACGGATTTTATTAGTGATACGTACATACTAAGGCTCTATGGATAAAACTACAAATAACATTTAATCTGTGTGTGTATTTCTGTGTGTATGTGGATGTGTATGCGTGTATGTTTGTTTTGGTGTGTGTGTGGATTAGCTATAAAAAAACACATGATTTAATAATTTTATTAATTTTTAAAAAAATTTCTAACCTTACAATTAGCAATCAAAAAATAATTAAATCAATTTTTTTCGAAAAAATTCGTAAAAATATCTAACAAATAAATAACGAAACTAACCGGAATGATAATTAACAGTGCTCTTTGTTAAACAGTCCAAGCGAACACACACAAACGCAGAGACACAAACTCACAAATACAAACAAACAAATAAATTCTACGTATGTACATGTACGTATGATGATATTTTAAAACTTCAATGGCTGTATGCACAGGCAGACAATGAAATACACAATGAACAGCTATCAATCAAGCACTATAACGGTACTTTATACAATTATTATTACTAATAATAAAAACAGTTCAACTCCTATAAAATACAGGTAACTTATTAGCAATAGTAGCAATAGCAGTAGTAGTAGAAGCTGCTGTAGGAGTAGCTGTAGAAGTTGCAGTAGTAGCTGTAGTAGTATACAAGTAGCAGTAGTAGCACTACTAAAATCCAACTGTTTATCATTAATAAAAAAAAATATAGAACAATAAAACACTTCAGATATAACCTACCAACGTCACACAACTGCCATTTAAAGTTATGAATGAACTTTAAAAACAAACTTTGTTTATATATATATATATATATATATATATATATGGGTTATATATATATATGGGTTATATATATATATGTATCTATCTATCTATATGCATACAATGAACTTCATATATCACTGCTTCTACTTCACTCAAGGCATATATTATATGTTGCAAATGTATAACACACTTATATCTAAGGACACTTAAAAATGTACATTATACACTGACACACACACACACACACACACACACACACACACACACACACACACACACACACACACACACACACACACACACACACACACACACACACATGTATATATATTTATATACATATAGCATGTATTATGTTATAGATATGATTTGCAATTACTTTAGAAAAAATGGAATAAAGAAATGAAACCAGATAAAAAATTGAACAAATACATACAACGTGACTGTTGATACTGAGATGAAACCAGATGCTAACATGCATTCCTAAAGAATGAATGGTTATACATAAACACATAAATACACACACACACACACGCCACACATACATAGCATACACACACATTTATATGATAAAAACAAATAATAATATATCTTTACCTCACTAGAAGCAATTGATTATAAGTGTGAATATATATATATATATGTCTACATAAATGTTAGCTGGCTAGCAGTGTTGTAATTAACTGTTTGTTATAAAATCTCCTCAAAATATCAAAATATGTGATTTGATGAGCGAAAGAATGAATGAATTAATAATTAATTAATTAATTAATTGATGAACGAATGAATGAATGAGTGAACGAATGAATTGACGAATGAATGAATGACAGAAAGGAAAAATGAATAAAAAACAATAACACAACAATAATTACATAGCAAAATGAAAACACAAGCAATATGAATATCAGTTAAAGGAATAAAACAACTAAAGATATAAAACTTCCATCCATTCATCCATCTGCTCATTCAGCAACTCATGGTAATGACTTCAATTGATAAAATTTGGCAAACCGTCAATAAAAACAATAATAATGGCAACAATAAAAACAACAAAAGCAACAACAACAACAGCAACAACAATAATAATAACAATATTTATAATAATAATAATACATTAACCTTGAAGTGTTTCCTGTCCAGATAGAACTGATGCTGGTTGACGGCCATCATCCAGATGGATCTGGCTAGCTGCGTGGAGGTAGCCAGCCAAGTGTGGACGACAATTTCCAGGTTACTATTGTTGTTGTTGTTGCTGCTGCTGTTGTTGTTGGTGGTAGTGGTGGTGGCGTTGTTGGCAGCGTGGAGTTTGTTATCGAAGTTGATTGTGGAAAAGGTTTTGATCTTGATCTTATCCGAGAGTGAGGATGACGAAGCCACAGCAGGAAGTAGCTTGTGAGAGGATGAGGAGGAAAAAGATGCTGACGACAATTTTTTCGTCGCTGGGGCCGCTGCTGCTGCTGCGACGACGGCTTTTTGGCTGTCGGTTTGTTATAATTAACCCATTGATTATAGTTATTAAAATTATTATATATTATATTATATTATAGATATAATTATTACTATTATATCATTATGTCCTAATATCATAGATATATATTTATTACTATTCGTTTCATGAATACTCAATTATCATCATTAGATTTGTCATCATAATTCACCGTCATCAGCCAGTATAATGATAATAATTATTATTGTCATATCACTTATGTTATTGCTCGGAAACAGTGAATGAGAAAAAAAAAGCAACATCATCAACAACGAAAACAACAACATTAAATACAAACAAGCACAAACACTTACACACACAATTACACACACACACACACAAACACAGACGTACACGTTACTGGCCTCCAGAACCTCAATGATAAACTTCTTATCTCGAAAATATAAGTTCTCTAGACTGGCCCAAGGATAAAACTAAATTGGGAAAAAATGGAAAATAAAAACAATATAAATAAAAATAAACACAGAAGTAAAATACTTATGTAACAAAAATAATATCCATTCTTTTTTAATTTCAATTAACAAATGAACAAAAACACATACATTACAAACTCGGACATACACATAAGCAACACACATACTCGCACACGTACACACATACATAGACATACACACACAAACTCACTCACACACACACACACACACATCTTTGATAACCTTTCTAGGTATTTTCTTGTCTAAAATATCAAAAACCATCAGTCCCTTCCCACTAATACCCAGCCACCACGGTACTCCGACTTTATCCTATGTATGTGTGTATACGTATGTATGTGTGTGTATACGTATGTGTGTGTGCATAAGTATGTATGTTTGTATAAATATGTATGTGATGTTGATATTGATGAAACATTTAAATTTAGAGTGCCATGCCATGTAAGCTCTTGTTCGAATGAAACAGACAGACATCTCCTCCATCATCATCTCCATCATTTTTTTTGGTCATCATCATTTTCATTTAAATGTGTGTGTGTGTATTTGTGTGTGTGTGTGTATGTGCGTGTGTATGTGTAAAACATCACAAGGCGTACCTTGATGGCATAATAATGAACTCCATACGTGGGTAGACTCTCGACAATACTCATGTAACTGTGACAACAAAATGGTGTTTAGTTATGCTTAATAATGTTCATGAATATGCATAATATATGTATAATTATAAATTAAATTTATAATATTATAATATCAATCAATCAACCAATCTTCGTTTAGCGTCCAGAGACCCAATTTCCCGAGGTAGGACGTTATAATATTATAATAAATATTATTTAAACCTTTAACGGCTAAAAGTCTACTACACTCTTTCTAGGTTTTAAAATGCAATTGATTTATAAAATAAAAATATTTAAACTCTCATTTTGGTCCTGCTGAAATAATTTCATTTGTTGGCAGTGAATTTACGAAAGATTAGTCATTTTTTTATAGTAAAGACTCCCGCTTTTTAGCTGTTGTTCTAAGGGCTTTAGGAGACCAAAATTCAGCCCTGAACAAGAATAATCACTTCAACTTGCTTCGATTTTGATAGTTCAAACGCATTACATTTTAATGCCGGTACTGGTATTTGCAATACAATTTTTGATTATTGTTAACAGCTCCTATAATAGCCAAAAAGCTTTTACTAAGAAGATAAATGATTTGGTTAGAGTTAAGAAAATGAAATGTACGTATATATGGAAAATTACTTTATGAGAGCCGTGCCGAAAGTATGGCCTGCAAGTTTTCTGTAGAAACCGATGATCTGATCTTCACTGTGAACCATGCAAACAAACATACAAATAATAATAATAATAACAATAATGAAACAAAAATAAGAATAAAAAAGAATAGGAAGAATAGGAAGAATAGTTATTGATTTTATCAATTCATTCTTAATAAATTCCCAGAAGCAACAGCAACTCTACATGAATACATCATGAATCCAGCCATCCAATGTGACAGGATGGGATCTCTGTGCGTTCGAACCTGGTCACCGCGACATCGGGACAGACATACGTATATATATATATATATATATATATATAATATATATGAGTTCTATCTAACCAGTAGGTAAGTGATGGGTACTCTTCTAAAATTTTCCTCGACAACGAGAACTGTTTGATGTGCTGACGACACTCTGACTCACTGTCCAGATAAATTTTAAAACAGTTTTTGAATTTAAAAATCAAGAATAATAATAATAGTAATAGTAATATAAATAATAATGAGAACTCTTTTATTTCTTCAAAAGCCAAAATATAAATAAAAATTACAATTAAATATAGAATGATCAATTATTATAATAGTTGAAAGATTAAAATAATGGATAATTTAACATCAACGCTCGTCATTATGAATGAGTACAAAGATGATGAAATAATATAAAAACTAGAGTCAAGCTTTATTTCTATATAATAATAATAATAATATTTTCAATAAAATGACAAAAACGCCGAAGTTAGCAATTTTTAAAAGAGCAGATCTGAGTACTAGAGCCGTTAACTTGCGATGTTTAAGGACAGCTAGCGACAGAAAAGTAATTACGCATAAATAAATTTCCTTTCTCAAAAAATTGACAAAAAAATTATAAATAAATGAATAAAAATCAATAAATAGGAATAATAATAATAATAATAATAACAATAATAAAGAAAAATAAGCGAAAAACCTCGTGAGGTTGCCGCATGTAATCTGCAAGATGTAAGCCGACAGTTCAAATATTGTCTCACTGTCCGTCTCCAACAAGCCCTGGGCAGAAAAAAAAAGATTGAAAAAAATTCATCAAAACTGAAAAATAAAAATAAATTTCAGTACTGATCTCTACTGCTACTATCGCTACTACTACTACTACTTCTCTTAGTACTACTACTACTACTACTACTACTACTACTACTACTACTACTACTACTACTACTACTACTACTACTATGGCTATTAATTCTATTCTTATTACAACAACTACTACTTCTCCTACTACTACTACTACTACTACTACTACTACTACTACTACTACAACTACTACTACTACTACTTCTCCTACTACTACTACCATTATTATTACGGCTATTAATTCTATTATTTACTACAATTACTACTGCCACTTCTACTACTAGTCTCTACTACCAGCACTACTACTACTACTACTACTGGTACTACTACTACTACTACTACCACAACGTTAAGAAATAAACAAACATAACAAGACACAACCTTGTAGATAGACTGTCGAGATTGTAGATAATACATGAGTATGGTGGGTATCTCGGGTAGAGTCAGTATGTTTTCAACGTAGAATCTTTATTGGAAAATTAATTTTTTTAATTTTTAATAAATAAATAGAAATAATTACATAAAAATAATATCTAATAATAAGAGTAAAAACAATAATAATGATGAGGATGATGATGATGATGATGACATTATCCAAAAGAGTAAATTTAAGAAGAAACTTAATTTAAATGGATGATAGTGTGAAAAACGACAAATCAAAGTGGACGACGATGATGATAGTATCAAACAAAATGATAATGTTATGATATAATGATGATGATAAAATAAAGATTTTACACTGATACCTATCAATCTAACACATAAGGAACTATCTTTTTTTGATATAGTGACCATACCAACATGATATAAGCGTTATGAACTTATGATATAATGGTGATATAGTGGCGTCAAAATGATGGTATCCAAATGATACCATGATGATACAACAATGATACTGCGAGGCTGAAATAATAAGAACATGATACTTACATGACACGATGATACCGTCGTAACGATTTTAACGAATTAAATAGGGGATATACTAGTATCTTTATAATGACGTCATAATGATGTTTCTTTTAATTAACGTGATATGATGACCTACAATGATGACGTAGCAGTGATATCATGATACAATGCTGATTTTAACAAAGATATAATGGTAATATCAAGGTTTAATGATAAATATATAAATAATTTGAAGGGTATTTATTACGAAGATGGAAGAATGAAGGGCAGAAGGGGGAACAAACACACACACATACACACACACAAACACACACACAGAGACACACAAACACACACCACACACATACATACATATCTACAGTATTTGTTCACTTATCAACAAACTAATCAGTCTGTAATTGCTGTGCAACCCCATATTGCAAGAAAATATTATTTATGGCATATCATAATTTATTATTATCTATTATTATTATTATTTTTCTCCCATGATACTTAACAATCTTCAACAACCTTGCCTTTAAAAAAAATGCAACAATAATAATAATAATAATAAAGAGAGCCAAAAAATATTAAACATAGCAGTATTATTATTAATATTAAAAAAATAATTATGATAATGTAGTGCAAACTTGACGGCAAAATATAGCGTGATGAGGCCGATCTTCTTCGGATAGTCATGGTCAAACACTCGCCTCTCCAACTGCAACCACTGATAATGACCGCTGGTGGTTGAAAATCAATTTCCAAAAGGTAATTGTAAAAGGTCAAAGGTCAATTTTATACTTATATTTTATATTTCAATTTTATATTATATACGACGCACTTGCATCAGAGAGATATCAATGACAAACATACACACAAACACACACACACGCACACAAGCAGGGTGGCTGTATGAAATTGCAGACATTTTATACAATCGATTGACTTTTAAACGAAACGAAACGAAACGAAACGAATTTTATTTGCTTCTCAAAATTACCAACTACGTACCAACGTAATTAAAAACGTAATTAAAAACGTACCAACTAACATTAAAAAAAGTAGAATGAATAAATGAATGAAAGAATGAGTGAATGAACAAATGAATGAACGAATGAAAGAATGATTAAATAAAAAATGAAAAAAAGACAATGATTTTGCAGATAAAAACCTTTCATCTCTGTAGGACAGACCAAAATAATTTTTTTCTTTCAACGCCTTGTGTGATGACACGAGATTCAATAACTCGTATGTATATAACTTCGGCTGTGTGTGTTTGAATGCTTGTGTGTGCTGTCTGTGTGGGTGTGTGTATTTGTTTGTTTGTTTGTGTGTGTATGTGTGCGTGTGTGTGTGTGTTGTTTGGCGTGTGTGTTGTGTAAGTATGCACGTGTGTTCATTTGAAAAACAAGTACACAGGTAAGTTTGCAATTATTGATATGTAAATTACAATCAGTGAACAAACATAATATAAATCAATGTGATGTAGAAATAACAACAGCAACATCAACAACAACGACAGCAATAATAGTAATAATAATAACAATACTAAGTAATAGATAAATAAATAAATATTGAATAGCTGATAAACATATACAAAAATTGACAGTAGCAATGACAATTCTTAATGAAAAAGGACACCTTAGTAGAGCAAGAATGAATGAATGTTCAGCTTAAAGTCAGGAGTTTTCATGTGAAATTTATTATTGTTCAGAGAAATAGTAAAATAATAATAATAATAACAATAGTAATAACAACCCACACACCAACTGAACAACAAACAAACTAATCAATCAACTAGCCAACCAAACCAACCAACAAACAAACCAATCAACCAACTAACCAACCAACCAAACCAGCCAACAAACAAACCAATCAGCCAACCAACCAACTAGCCAATCAGCCAGTCAACTAATCAACCAACCTACCAAACAACCAGCCAACTGATCAACCAACTGACTAACCAACCAACCAAACTAACAAACCAACCAAGCAACAAACCAACCAACTAACCAACCAACCAACCAACCAACTGACCTGTACAATGACCTCCAGTTGGTCATCATCTGGTAGTATTATATGAACTGTTCTCACATCTGTTGCCATCTATGATATGAAGATCAAATTATAATTATTATTATCATTAATAATAATAATATTATTATTATTATTATTGTTATCATTATTAAAACACTAATTGAATAGAAAAATTAACACAATAAAATCAAAAATTATACTATAAAACCACATTCACCTTAAACATAATTGGAAAAAATCAGTCATAAAATCCACTGCCGAACAAAGTTATTATTAATGATACTTCTATTATTATTTATTTAATTATAATTAATGATATTATATAATTATAATTAATAGTATTATTTATAATAACAATAATTATTACATTTAAATTTTAATAATAATAAAAAAAAAAACTCCAATCCTTTATGCATGGCTTCAAAACTATAAATAAGAAACATTGATCATTAAATCCTTTCATTCAGAAATAGATTATATATACACACAAATACACACATACATACATACATACATACATACATACATACATACATACATACATACATACATACATACATACATACATACATACATACATACATGCATACACACATACATACATACATATGTGTGCATGTGTGTGTATGTGTGCATATGTATATGTATATATATATATACAAGTATATACAAATACAGTTGGATATGTGACTCAGCATAACAAAACAAAATAAAATGAATTAACAAACACAGCCTGAATATTTAATGTTATCTAATTAGAATTAGTTAGTAGAATTAATTTATCAATGAATATGAACTGGAATTAATCATCTATATGATTTTTGCTTCTTTTTTCCAAACATTTATCTACTATCTATGTTATCATGTTGCTATATAAATATTTTTCATCTTAATTTTGTGATAAGAACACTAAAAAAATATAAAGCCATTGAACTGATTAGAACAACATTCATACATACATAACATAAATACATACACATTACAATACATATACATATATACATACATGCATGCATACATACATACATACATACATACATACATACATACATACATACATACATACTTACTTACATACATACATACATACATACATACATACATACTTACTTACTTACATACATACATACATACATACATACACTGAGTGATCAGTGATTAACATCAGTATCAATCATTACACTACTGACTACATTTACATCAACATACACAACATTGCATCAATATTTGATAATAAAGCTAAATTAAATAAAATTATATTACAAAAATTCCAACCAAGCTAACCTCTAACTCATACTTCTACCTCTGGTCTGGTTCAATTCAGCAGTTTCAAAGAGCCCAAGAAGAAGAGTTATGTTACAGTTTGGTTAGGTTAGGAAACCATTTTTTAGAGGAATTAATGTTTAATTTCTTGAAATTTTCTTTAGAATTGGAAACTAAAGCAGTGGCCGTTTCGAATCTGCGTTTCATTTTTTGCTTATGCTTACACTTACTGATTAAAAATTTACTAATTGAAAAACTACTACATACACAACTGAATGATTTGTACAAAAGTTCTTTTTACTTTTTAATTATTTTTACTACAAAAAACTAAACTATAAAGAAGCATTACAATTTAAGAGAGGCAGACGTATTTTGCAAAATAGAATGTCTTTTCAGAAATCACCTAATAATTAAATTTAGATGTTATTTGAAACAAACAAATCGCCATTTCTCTCTTTCGCTTTTGCTACAGCAAATTCTTCAATCATTGTACGACGTTGTTGTTGGTTGTACACCACACGACTGTTAAGCTAGAATCATTTTTTAAAACCATTATTGCAATTACAGCAATTTTAGCACTTTTGTTAACTAAACCATTTAATTAGAATTAAAAAAAACTATTATTTTTTACACAATGCTATTTGCTGTTGAACGTTACAACACGTGTTCGTTGTATGTACAATTTTACCGATAAATTTAAACTTAATTGTTAGTTTTTCGCCATTGTATAAGTTTACATTTCATCATGCTCTCTAATGTTAATCCTTGAACATTTAAAGTTAAAAATTACCAATAGGTTATTGTCAGAATTTTTGTAATTTGTTGAATTTCAGTTCTAGAAATGGTCAGAGTTGTGTTTGTACATCCTGACCTTGGCATAGGTGGGGCCGAGAGAGCAATAATAGACGCTGCACTTGCCTTGAAATCAAGAGGACATGAAGTCAAAATTTTGACAGCCCACCATGATGTAAACCACTGCTTCGAAGAGACGAGAGATGGCAGTTTATCTGTTCTCGTTGTTGGGGATTGGTTGCCGAGGTCTTTTTGGGGGCGGTTTTATGCCTTGTTTGCTTACCTGAGGATGATCTGCATTGCCTGCTATTTGGTGTTCTTTAGCGGATTGTCCCCGGACTTAATATTTTGTGATCAAATTTCCGCCTGCATTCCTGTTTTAAAGCTGATGAAGAAATCAAAAGTTTTATTTTATTGTCACTTTCCTGATTTCTTATTGACTGATCGAAAGACTCTTTTGAAAAAGCTCTACAGGGTGCCTATTGATTGGCTGGAGGAGAAAACAACTGGCATGTCTGATGTTGTTCTCGTAAATAGCAACTTCACAGGTACATTTATTTATGTATTATTTGTATTAGCAAACATTTGTAATGTTGTTAAATAATTTTTTTCATTGTTGCTAGTGTTAAAATTTATATTATTTTTATTTTACACTTTTACAGCCTCTGTATTCAAGAGGACATTTACAAGCCTGAGACACATTGATCCACAAGTTCTGTATCCAATACCAGATTTGTCAATGTATGACAATTTTTTAGTGGAGAGCTCGACATTGCCTAGCAAGATGGATGCAAGGATTTCATTTTTGTCTATCAATCGATATGAACGTAAAAAAAATTTATCCTTAGCCGTACATTCACTGTCTGCATTGAGGAAGAAGTTGAATGGCAATTTGGATAACATTCAGTTGGTGATAGCAGGTGGCTATGATGAAAGAGTTTCAGAAAACAAAGAGCATTATGAGGAACTCGTTAACTTGGTATCTCAGTTGAATTTGAAAGACCATGTTTCATTTTATAAATCCATATCGAGCCAAATGAAATTAGAATTGTTGAGAGTCAGTACCTGCTTATTGTACACTCCGTCCAATGAACATTTTGGCATTGTGCCAATCGAGGCAATGTATTTCGGTCTCCCTGTTATAGCTGTCAACAATGGTGGCCCCAAGGAAACGGTCCTTGATGGGAAGACGGGATATTTGTGCGAGCAAGATCCAGATGAATTTGCCGATAAGATGTTGAAATTTGTAAAAAATCCCAATTTAAATTATGAGTTAGGAATTGCTGGCAAAGAGAGGGTGATGAAGTATTTTTCCTTCAATGCATTCACAGAGAAACTAGATAAGATTGTACATGATATGTTACAAATCTAATGTGATGATAATGCTTCAACTCTATCTGTGTGCGTGCGTGCGCGCGCGTGTGTGTGTTTGTGGTTTTTTATTTTTCAAAAATTATCTTTCTCTACCGTTGTAAATGTTATTGTTACGGGTTTCATATATTCCTATGTATCATAATTTGTGTCATTAATAAAATACATGGCCATTCTGTTAATTCTTTTGGCGCCGTTTGATTTCGTAATATGTACTTCAAGTTGAAAATTGTTTTAAATTCTTTAATGAAAATTGCCAAACACTCGATTTTTTATTTATTTTTAATGCCTTTGAAATGGAAACCTGCTATGTTGGGATGCTGATGTAACTTAATAAGTTAGCTTACTAGGTTTATTTAATAACAAATTAACTGATATATTCGAAATTAAATGTAATTTCAGTTAGTGGCGTAAGTAATAATTAAGAAATTATTGCGAATTATTTGTTAAATTACACGAAACATGACTTCCAAGAGATCAAGAATCATAGCTACCCTGAGTTGATATGAGAAAGTCATCTAAAATATGGAAAAGGGAATCAAAGGTTGGTCGTTTTTCAGGAGTCCTGTGCCAACAATTCAACATGATTTCGTACAATTCATCACTGCAGCCTTCTGGTTTTGGGTGTCTGAATGTCGTCTGCAATCTCAATTGCACTTCGTTGTTTGACATATCTTTAATTTTGTGTTGATGAAACTATTATTAAATAAGTACAGTGTTTCCTAGGAGTGTTCAATGGCGAAGGCAGTTTGCAGAAACGCAATGCTCGCGACAAGCCAATTGTACATTTGAGCGCTTAACTCGAGACATTCTTCTTATGAAATCAATTAATTTCACTTCAAACTTACTTGGGTAAGGCGTAGTTCCAAATGTTAATAGTTCGACCATTAAAATTCCAAACGACCAAACATCTGATTTAATAGTGAAGATTTGTGAATAGATCGATTCAATTGCTGCCCACTTCACAGGAAACTTTGAATCTTATCAAATATTATAACGTTTACCAGTTTTAGAAAAATTTAATTTTTTCATTTCATCCATCGCAAAATCTTAAAATAGTACTGACCATCGGTAGCTTTGTAAAAATCTTCTTTCACTACTCTAGAAAGTCCAAAATCAGCGATTTTGATCAGCCTGTTTTCGCCTATAAGGACGTTCCTTGCTGCCAGATCTCGGTGTATGTAACCTTTTGACTCGATGTACTGCATGCCATTGGCAACCTACATGTTTTCGCAAAAATAAATAAAGCAAATAAGTATACAAATGTCTTACCTGGGCGGCAATGTCAATGAGGCAGTGTATGGTTAATGTCTTTCCACAATCATCTCTCAGAAATTTCTGAAGAGAGCCGTTGGCGACGTATTCCATGACGATAAAAATTGGTTCCTCGGTTGTGCACATGGCGTACAATCTCACCAACTTTGGGTGCCTCAAATTTTTCATTACTGTTGCTTCTTTTAGAAAATTTTTTGTCTCCATTGTTCCTGGCTTCATCGTCTTAATTGCAACTGGGATCGTTGACTTCCACAATCCTAAAAAAACCAATGAAATATTTTTCAAGGCGGATTTGAATTACTTTTTAACTCTGTTCTACTGTTAAATGATAATTCATTTTCTATTTATATCAACCTTTCCAAACTTCTCCAAAATTTCCACTTCCTAAAAGTTCAGTTTTCTGGAGAGTTTTTCTGTCAATCTCCCACTTATCTCGTGTTTCTTTCGACAGATCGGAACTTACTGGTGACATTTGCGGGCAGATGTTTGTCAGGCGGGCGCACAAACCGTTGTGGTCTTTCGTTTGTTTGAAATAATTGTTATATATGAAAGAAAATAAAAATAATAGTTGATTTAAAAACAAATTGCTAATAAATTGCTTTTCTACTTGAATAAAATTCGATGAGTTTTGCAATAGAATTAAAAACAGCTTTAGGATTGATAAAGCATCCCGTGTTGTCTTCCATGTTACGAATGTGATAGTGTTTGGTTGTCCTCTGCTCTTCATTGTCAACCTTCAGTACAGATATTGTGTACGTCCCTGTGACATGAGTAGGTTAACTGATGCTATATTTCAATTAAAGTTCTAGTTCTTATTAGGAAATCCTCCACAAACCGTTTATAGTTTCCGAACTTCTGATAAGAAATGTTCCAGCTTTATTTTTTTTATTTTCTTTCAGCAATTTGTCGGCGTCCGCACGTGATACGTTTGCGTGAAACCAGCTGAAAATTATTTCAAGTTTTCATTATTATAGAATTTTCATGCATTTTTGCGTTCCATTTAAGTGATGTTAATGATAAACAACAACTGGTCAAATTAAATTATGGCGAGTAGAATATGTTCTATCTTGGTTGACGCTAAGTTATAAATTCAACACAAAGTTCTATCAAAAATTATCTTACTCGAAGCTTTCGACTCCTTCGACAAGCGTCACAAAATTGCATGGAACGTATCCCTGCTTATTTGTCTTTGTACTCACAGCCAGCCACCAGTCTAAATCAGAGCTTTGAAAAAAGGGTTTCGACATTAATAATATACCCCTAATATCGTTTATTTGGTCAATGTTAGTACTTGATAAGACGAAAATGTTACGAAATTTGCTTAAATCCGAGATGTTGTTTAACTAACTCGTCAATTAAATCCAATATTTCTCCTTTCTTAAAAGCGAGTTGGTCTGATGAATCTGGCGGAACATTGCAGTCGCACATTGCTTTCACTTGCTTCTTAATACCGGCTTATTTGAATGAGTGGGTAGGTTATTAAATTAAAAAAAAATATTTTTAAATTGAAACCGAAGCACTTTACAAATATAAACTACTATATTGAAATGAAGAATTTATTTTAAAAATTACAAATTTTTTTCTTAATTTACGTGTTGAAGTTGTTGGCGTGGTCGGTGTTTTTGGAGTTGTTGGGCGGTGTGGAGGAGGAGGAGGAGGGGGTGGAGCTCTTCGTTGATTTTCACTTTTTGTTTCCACTACGCGTTGCTCTGTAATTTTTGCTGGTATTTTTGGTGATCTGAATTTTGTGGAATAACTCTATGAGATGAAAGTATTCAAATATATTTCATACGTTGAAAAGTCAATGAACTATCAATGGATACTCTATCAATCTTATGCATATACAAGTTGAATTGAAGCCCTTTGTATCTATCACTAACATGCTTGCGAAAAATTTTAAATTCCAATCTTGAATGTACTTCACTCACTTTGTCTCCTCATTTTTAAGAATTTCAGTGAAATAATTGCTGGGAACAAATCCCTCCTTGTTTGTTTTTGTATCCATCGCATGCCACCAGCCATTTTCTGATCTGAAAATTAAAATTTTTTCTATACATTACTTACAAATAAATTACAAACATGAAACAGTGTCCTCTTTTGGCATGAAATACACCTCTGCCCATGTCAACATACAGCAAAAAAATAAACATTTCCATTCATATTCATCAAGATACACACAAAGTTTTGTATTTATACAAATATATAAAGAATGAAATACATATTAAATACATAAAAAAACGTTGAACAAACTCATCCAATAGAATCATGATGTCTCCAGATTTGAAACTAAGTTCCTTTCCTTGGTTACATGGGGCCAGATAATCGTACAGAGCCTTGATTTTTCTCGAACTTTTTGCTTTTATTTGTATTTTTAATTAATTATCTAGTATAAATAATCGCCTATTGATAAATTATAGAGTAATTTTGTTTGAAGGTTGAGTTACTAAGACTAATATTTTCTAATCTTATTTTATATTTTCCCAGTATCTGATCCAGAAAATATAAAATAAAATATGGATAACACAGAGGTAGCCATTCTATCACTGGAGTTACGTGTATGAAATATGAAAATAAATTTCTAATGAAACGACGAGAAATTATTGAACGTTGTAAACCTCTTCTAGGCGCTGGTGCTGGCGTTGTCTTGACGTGATGTTGGTGGTATCGATTTGGCAAAATTTTGCTCTCGTGTTTCGTTCCTGACTTGGCGTTAGATTCATTCGAATGATTATGTTTGGATTTTTTAAATATATTAGTTTTGATAACGTCCATGTTTTTTTTTTAGAAAAATACACTAAGATTGAGCATTACCAAGTTACACAAATCGATAAAGTACAACTCCGATATTCTGTTTTTTAGACCATTTTCGCTTTTTTGTGATATACCATATTAGGTTTAGAAAATTTACAAATAAAAAAAATGATGCAACGACAAATTATTGTGAAACCATACAACATTACGGTGATAATAATAACGCTTGTGTAGCGATCGTAGAACATATATGAAATTACTTAAGAAAAATAGCAGTAGTCAGAGTTGTAGTTGTATAAGTATTGTGAGAAAACAGGCATACAATAGCGCTAGGAAGTTGTATATTTAAAGCTGTGGGTAGTATGCGGTGATGACTATTGTATGAGGTTTTGGGTGAAAATTTAGTTAAAATGTTACGTGCATTATATGTAATAAATTATTCTTTTTTTTTAATGTTTTCTCTTTATACAACCTAGACAGAGATTCAATCATTCTAGATTCAATCATTCATGTATTTATTTGGTTTTATTATCGTATGTATTCTGTCGAATTTATAAGAAAAAAATTTTAAACTCTATAAAATTGCGTTATGTCTCGATGTAAATTGTTGCAAAAACTCAAATATATGGTCAGGCCATAGTCATCGCTATCGCTACATTAGCATTTTATTCATTAGCCAAAAATCTTGTAAATCCGGAGGGGGGCTTTAGAGCTGAATACCCCTCAATAGACATTTAGGTAAGGGTGGGTTAAATTTAACAAGTTGTCTAGGTCTTCACTTGATGACGCTTTAAACGTTTATAATGATTTCTTTTCAATTGCTTTTTATTACATTATAAATAATACATAACTGTAGGTCTTGGGGCTCAATTTTTTGTAATTTAATGTTTAAAAAACTTAAGAGACTATTTATCACAACCTAATAGTTTATTTTTTTAGATTTTCAAATTTTTTACTAATGGACAAAAAAAACATCGATGATATTTTCAGATATAAAAACTTATATAAGCAAATAATTGAAAGAAAATGTGATATAAATTTCCGACTGTCATCAAGTCTATTGAAACGTTCCCATAATTTCATTAAAGAAAAAACTGTTCAGTTTTGGATCGGACATATAAGCAGATTAAAAATCAACCAATCATAGTACTCGTTTAAGAACGCTATTATTGATCAGATTGGTTTCAAAATTTATTTTAGTAACTAAATGTATAAATTATATAAAAATTTATGTGTATAAATTATTTAAAAAAAAAATTCTAGAGCTACCGAAGTTTTCTATTCTCAATCATTCATAACTGTTCTGAGTCGCAATGATGAAATCATCCAAAATATGAAACAGCGAATCGAAGGTTGGACGTTTCTGGGGGTTGGCGTGCCAGCACTGAAGCATTATTTCGTACAATTCATCGCTGCAGCCTGGCGGTTTGGGGTGCCTGAAAGCACCCTGAAGTTTCAGCTGGACCTCGGCCGCAGTCATGCCTGCGAGTGTCAATGTTAAATGGTTGAATTGATGATATGATAACGTTACATGTGATAGAGTGTATGTTATATAAATTATCCTTCGAGAATTGTTTAGGAGTATATTGAATGAATGAATTAATGAATAAAATTATTTTAATTAGCGGAACAATTTGAAGATATGATTCATTTGAACCAGTTATACTGCAGTCTTTTTGTATCCACAGACAAAACTAGTTTGTTATATTAATAATTCTTATTTATAATTTTTAAACATAGCTAGACTTTTTATCTTAACTTCTCTGAATTTTGAGTTTTGAAATAATTGTGGAATAAAAACAAAAAAAATTGAAACAAAGGAATGAGCAGGATGACGTTGAATAAAACGGAAGAGACAAATGAGTGGCGGTTGTAACCAGGATAAGGTGTGTTCCCATATGTCACGAGCTCCACCAGCAGAATGCCAAACGACCAGACATCTGACTTTATCGAGAAATTTTGAGAGGTTATGGCTTCGATTGCAGTCCACTTTATTGGAAATTTTGATCCTTAGTACAGCATCAAAATAAATATATATAGTCATTCCATTTTTTTTAATTTCGGAAAAAAATTATAACTAGATTTTTTTTCATAATCAAGCCAACCTTCTTTAAAAACGTAAATAGAATTGTCCTTGAGAGATTTCGACAGACCAAAGTCGGCGATCTTGAGCATATTGTTGTCAGCAACCAGAACATTCCTGGCTGCCAGATCTCTGTGAATGATGCACTTCGATTCCACGTACTGCATGCCGCTGGCGATCTGATCCAAACAACCATCGTATCAATTTGAAAATTTTAATTTAAAATTATTATCAGTCGCTTAAAATGAAAAAATAATAAAAATTAAGTAATATAATATAAAAATAAATAAATAAATAATCAAGAACACTTCAAAATTTTAAAATGTCCACAAACCTGAGCCGCAAAATCGATAAGGACGGGTTCAGTTAATTTCTTGCCACCATCCTTCTTCAAATATTTCTGCAGACATCCATGCGGTATGTACTCCATGACGATGTAGATGGGTTCCTCGGTGGAGCAGACAGCGTACAACCTCACCAGCTTCGGATGTCTCAACTTCTTCATGACTGCCGCTTCCTCCAGGAAGGTGGTCTTGTCCATGGTTCCCGGCTTCATCAACTTTATCGCTACTTGCCTCGTGCTGTTCCATGTACCTGATTCGTTGAAAAATGGAATGCAATAAGTATAAAATGATTCTGAAATATCTCTTACAAGCTCACCTCTCCAGACTTCTCCGAAATTTCCAGAACCCAATATTTCAATTTTTGTGAGAGTTCTACGATCAATTTCCCACTTATCCCTGGTCGCCTTCGACAGGTCCTCGGTAGCTGGAATCATTTTAGGACAAATTCGCGATAGAAGACAGCATAGGCCGTTATTTTCTAGAAAAGAAAAATTCAATTAATGTTACATTCTCGTCGCACGCTCTGATTTTCTGAATAATCTAACTTGAATAATAGTCAAGGAGTTGACTAATTGACGGGAATATGTTTTTAGAAGTTATGAAGTAGCCCGAGTCGTTCTCCATTGTTCTGATGCGATAGTTTTTCGTTATTCTTTGACTGCTATCATCGAAGAACAGTACAGATAAGGTATACGTATCTTCAAAAATTAAAAAAAATATATTACGCGACCCCCATTTCATCATGATTCGTTTGAATATGAACATTATTCAATTTGTTTCAAATCTGTGCGTAATTAAGTTTGTTTTACAACATTCTACAAAAGTATAATGATAATACGCGGTGTTAATGAATATAATAGATATAGTAATCATCAGGACTATAGCAAACCACAAGAATGAAAAAAGCTGAGATTTGTGAAGCTGGCGAAACCTACTAGCAAGAGTGTCTGATTTTCTAACAAGGTAGGAGCCGATAATGTTCCCCGCATTCTCCACCAGCAGCTTGTCGCTATCACTTTTTGTAACGTTTGCATGGAACCAGCTGGAAATAACGATAAAGAAAATGATGATATTAGACAATAATAATGATAAACCCACGTTATCAAATGTTATTTGTATATTATAAGTCATTCCTTAAATACAAAAATTTGTCGATATTCAAGAGGGCAGTGGCTAATCTACTGGGTGTGCGAGAATTAAGGCCAGGTTTAGACCATGAAGGACTTTGAAAGAAAAGAAAACATTGAAAATTCTTGTAAAATATAGGAATAAAGTGATCGGGCATCTGCATAGAAATAAGGTCATTAATTTCTGAATTTTTAAAATTTTTCCCTCCGTCGAAACACTGGAATGAACGGGATTTACTGGAATTAAAAAAGTCATCATTTTTAGAACTTGAAATTTTCTCCCACACCGCAAATTTCTGGATTCGCCACTGATAGAGGGTATTATATTTCACCACTCACACATATTACTTCAGATACTCAACAATTACTTGATCCCCTCCAAAAAAAAACAAAGATAATTTAGAAATTTGTTTCAGGAAATCTCACTTACTCAAAACTTTCGATTCCTTGCAGATTTGTGACGTAATTGTACGGAATGCTGCCTGTTTTCTGCGTCCGTGGATTGTAGGCAGTCCACCAGTCTCTGTCAGAACTGTAATTAATAATTCATAATTATAATATTAATTATAAAATTATGTTATCTATAATAAAATTTAAATTCAATTCAGAGCCTAAATTTTTCGAGCAGGTATAATAACATGAACCTCATTATCCATTTATTTGTCTTGATCCACTTATTATATTTGTTTAATGTAAAAAATATTCCTATATGTCGGGATAGATTGATGACAGACGCAAATGTTCGCAAAAAAATTTCAAAAATTCTTTTTGTTACCTCAAATTTTCACCTTAAAACATGAAACTTCAAATTGCTGACAGTCGTTTTTCATTTACTTTTTTTGTTTAAAATTATCCCTTTACAATTCATCAGAAGTATCAACAACAAGCGTAAGTATTCAACAACACAGTGTATGTTATTAAATAAACACATACGAATGCGATAAGGGATCACTTCCCATTCGAACATGATCACCGCAAAATCAGTGCCAGACATCTTAACCATTACACCATTACTTATTGTATTTAGAAAAACTTAGAAAATTTGTAAGACTAACTCGTCCAGAACATCTAAGATGTCTCCTATTTTGAAGCTCAATCCGTCAGCTGAAACTTGTGGGGCATCGAAATCGTATAAACATTTCACTTTTCTCTTCGATATACCGCCTTCAAATTTATTCGTCTTTAATTAATTAATCATTTCAATTAATGAATTAATTGTTTAATTAATTATGATTATAATGATAATGTAATGACCATAATCTTGGTCATAACATAACCAGGTGTGTGTATTCTATAGTCGTTATGACTACTTGTCCGGCCTACCACTGGATCTTTTGGGTCGTTGATGTTAGTTGTGCCAGTTTTTCGGACAGATTTCCCTTTCATTGAGTTTCCCATACTTATTTATTTGTTATTAATTCTTATTTTAAATATTTTTACGTTTATCTCTTCATTTATTTATTTGTACTTTATAATCTCTAATCTATTTATTCTTTATTTATTTAAAACTTAACAACGGTGGTTGAAGATATAGACGTAGATACTCAAACAATGTGTGTGTGAGTCAATGAAAAAAAACACGTAGTCTTAAAACACATCGCATAATAGCAATGTAAAGTAATTTACGGTACCTCTAAAGGTAACAAACTTAAACTTCTAAACTTCACCAACGATCAAACATTTAGACACACAAACACACAAACAAACGCGCACAAGCAATCCTTTGTCATTCTACTTACTAGTGCATAAACAAGAATAGCTAACAATATTAGCTAGGAAGTTATGAAGACCTAATCAACTTCGTGTAGTATAAAATAATACTTCATGCCTAATTAATCAAACCTAAGGGAATTTTCAAATAATAATAACAAAACAACAACAAAAACAACAACAATAATAATAACCAGTAGCAGAAACGAGGTGAAAGGCATAATATTGTCCAGCGAATTTCATCCCAATGAATTCGATTTTAAAGTCAAAAATTGTTCATTGAAAAGATTTTTGTAATCTGCGGATTACCGGATAGATTTAGATAAGATTTGATAATATTAGTTTGTCACGCACGTGCATATACCATGTATATCAGGATACATGATTGTACAATTGTATGTGTATCCAAATTACATAAATTACCGAGTCAGTTTAAATATATAGTTAATATATTGATACCACATGCACTTGCGTATATCATGTATATCTGGATACAATTTTACACAATTGTCTGTGTATCCCAATTACATGAACTGATATATCAATAATACATGCATGTTTTGCCCGTGCAATCGGCTTTGTCCTCTCAGTCAAACTGGATTCACTCACCATATACCCGTTATAACTTATATTAATTTGAAAATTCAACAATTTTGACGGCAAGCGAGCTACACCATACTGTAAGGCTATCTCACAGCAAAATCCAACAACTAACAATAGAAATAAATTTTAACTTGACTTATATAAGAAATTATCGTACTATACCCATTGTTTGATGGTTTTGTATCCATACATATTACTACATTCATGTAATGATAGTATTATAATTATAGGACGTTAGTATTCTATTTTAATACTCTAATAAAACTTAAGTACAAGAATTGAGCTATAGCACATGAACCTGATGTTGGCTCGAAAGTATAGGTTCTTACTAAAGGATCGCCTGGAATTATAATTATAATAACTATAAATATTCACAAGGAACTTGATGAACCTTTGTAAAATATTAAAAATGGTGGTTTCTATACTGCCTTTGATTCCATTTAAATCTGTAATGTGAGGAAAACGGTGGAAAAAATTTTGAATACTCGTCTGAAACCCCATGACTTTTATTCTACATAGTTAATCCCTCTCTCCAATTTCATGAACGCAAACAATTACAATACTAATTACTACCTTACATTTATAATCATATTCTCATAGCTACACGACGAACCACAAACACATACACACACACACACACAAACGTGTGAGAGAGAACTTAGCAAAGACAAAAAACAAAATACTAAATTTTTATTATTACGTCATAATAATGATGATGATGATGCAAACACAAGAAATATCAAGAAAACAAATGCACACAATATAATAGCATATCAATTAAAAATAAACAAACTTTATACTTTGTATATACATACATATGCATATATATATATATATATATATGTATATATATATAAATATAATGTATATATATATATATATGTATATATATAAATATAATGTATATATATATATATATAATATTCACGCAATTCTTAGCAACCAAAATATAATGCACAGGAAACAACATTAACGAATTTGATGTCAATTGATCCATTAATTTTCGTCCAAAATTCTGTAGACCAATAATTTTCTGTAAATAATAATAGCAATAACACCGATAATAATAATAATAAAAATAATAATAATAATAGATAAAAATAATAAACATAAATTTTTTAATAATTAATATTCCAGGTCTATTCATCTTCTTCTCATTGTTTAAATGCGAGATAAGTATTTCGTCAGAGAAAGGGTCGTGCGTAACGGTATGTCCAAAGAAAGCAAATAAAATGATAATATTATTTAACAAATAATTTAGAGTAAGAATGAAATAATAAAATGAAGAGGAACAATTGGACCTAAGGAAACAAAATTAGTATATTGTCAATAAAATAATCCGAATAAATTCAATTTTTCTGAATTTTAATTTAAATTGGTCATAAATAATTTATGAAGAAAAAAAAACTTGTCAATAAAAAAATGAGAAAAAAATAGAATAAAAACGATATAAACAAAGTACCCTGTGCAAACAAACAAACGAACGAACGAGCAAACAAACAAACGAAATGAACAAACGATGCGACTAAATTAATCAAATGCAACGAAATAAGGAAAAAAATATGTCGGCAAAAATTCACAAAACGTTTTGACAAGATTACGATATATATATATATATATATATATATATATATATATATATATATATATATATATGTATATATATATAAATATTATTTATATAGTTATTTATATAGTTATTTATAAGTGTGTGTGTGTGTGTGTGTGTGTGTGTGTGTGTGTGTGATTTTATTTATACGGTACTATCTCAAACAAAAGGATAGAGGTAAATAAGTAAAATGTAACATAACAGTAGAAGACTTACTTAGCTAGCTGATCAATGACCTTCACAAGTAAATGAATAAAGTAAAATAAAATAAATAAACAGAATGACCAACAAAACACGCAGGCACACACACACGTACATGCACACACACGGAAACTCGCACGCACGCACACACACACACGCACGCACAAAAGCACTATCGATTAACTAATTAAATTAAATGCCGTGTGATCCCTCCACACCAACAAAAACAACCACAAAAAATGAAAAAAAGATTAAAAAGAAAGAAAAATGAGTATTTTCGACATGATTATATATATATATATATATATATATGTGTGTGTGTGTGTGTGTGTGTGTGTGTGTGTGTGTGTGTGTGG